AAAAAAAAAACAGGGTTACTTACTTGGGTAGCGGGAAGGGGTCGCGCGGGGAGGGGGATAGAGTTTATAGGTTTACGATGATGGTTAAGTATGTAAAATTTTGTTTTGACAGGAAAGAATATTGGGGAAACCCGGGAAAATGGGGGGACTTGTTATGATTCCTTGGTTTTTTTTTTGAGTCGCGCATTGTTTGTTGGCAACAGGGGGGGTGTAGATAAGTATGGAGTTCAGGGTAAGGATTGCGAGCGGGAAAGAGGGAACGGGAGGAGGGAGGGAGGGAGGGGGGGGGGGGGGTGATGAGATGAGGAATCGATATAATTAAGGCCGGTGAGATGGGGTTCGGACGTGGGAATTCGGACAAGGGGAATGAGAGAAAGTGTGTGTGTATGTGAAGATTGCGGGGAAAAGAGAGAGGGGAGATGAGGTGAGAGAGAGAGACTAGTTTGGTCATTTTTTTCTCTGGCGTATGTATGTGTGTGTGTATGTGGATTATGTGGATTACTTTTTGTGAAAGGGATTCTTCCCACACACGTCAATATGGCGTGTTGTAAAACGGCCGACCGAACGGACTACTACTCGGGGGAATATGTACAAGGATGATGGGAGGGGCCCAAATCTCCACCCTGGAATTGAGGAGAGTGGGGTGGTCTACTTTGCTGCCTATATCGAAATGAAGGGTTTTTTTCTTTCCTACTAGTTCTATTCGCGAAAACAAAAAGAGCCGGCGCAATGATGTGTGCAGGATCTACGACGGACGATGGAAGAATACCCACTTGCTATACCGACGGGCGACGCATACGCGCACTCCTTTGGGATGGCCCTTGTCCGGCAGCCACGTTCAGCATTGCCGGGCGGTTGCTGGTGCCGCCGCTACCTGTCAGGAACAAGACAAGAGCGAAAAGTTAACTCGCTTGGTGGTGGGGGTGGCCGCCGCCGCCTCCGCCGAGCAAAAGGTAGACAGGGGCACCGGAAACGGGCTAGGCAAAGGAACACAGGCACACCAGAAGAGCGACAAGCATGGGTAAGCAAAACAGCTATCGGGAAGGGCGAGGCCGGGGGGATGGTAGAATCAAGGAAGATGGCAGCTTGTAATGTTTCAATTATGCAGTGGATGGGACAAAAGGTGAGAGTAGGAGCTTGGCAAGCCGACGTGGCACTCATGCGCCACCGCTCGACTTTTTGGACGCGATTCAAAAGAGCATGTGCAGTGATGGGCAACGTGCAGGTTTCTATTCCGAGATTGCAGTGCTCATTTCCTTTGCCATGGTTGGGCGATGGCGTTCGCGCGTTAGCGCGCAAGTAGGTAATTGCAGTGGGGGCCTTGCAAAGGTGATATCAGCCTCGTTCCCTGTGCAATAGGGGAGGGTGCTATAGCAGCGGCGGCGGGCAAACAGCCGTTCGATGGACGACATTTGGTTTCGCAGATGCAAAGTACTCTAGTGTATCGGGCGAGTCGTGCTGGGGGGGGGGGGGGGGCGGCGGAAGGCGTGGTGCTAGGCCGGGTGGTATAACTTGTTTCCTCTGCATTTTTGGCACGTCTCGGCTACAGGGTGGATACGAATACGAGCGCCGGTGCCCCCCGCAGGTTGTAAGGAGTAGTCGACGCGCAGATAGCCGTTGTACAAGGATTAGAGCACGCGATGTTGTTGTTGTTATTGTTGTTGTTGTTGGGTGTCGCAGCCTTGCAGCCTTGCAGCTTGGTAGTAGGCCGTGTACTGGTACTTACTCTACTAGTCCAGCTGGATCGGGCAGTGGGGTGACCGGACTCGGAGTATACTGGCTAGGTAAGAGCGGTCTAGAGGGAAAGAGCAGAGGCTTCTCCTTCCCACCTCACCTAACCCAGCCTAACCTAACCACAACCAAGCACCCCCAAGCGAGATCTCGATGACAGCAGTCGAGTGGGCCTTTGTGCAAGGCCAAGAGTAGATGGGCATGCAAGAGCGAAGACTGCGCTTCTAGGCGACATTGCGTACACAGACGCACACTTGGGAGGCAGAGAGAGAGAGAGAGAGGGTCGGAGGCGCACATGCAGCAGAGTACATGTAGAGAGTAGTGGCAAATGCAAGCAATGGATGGTTGAGGGGAGGATTGCGACAGACTTGGCAACGTGTGCTATGGCAAAAAGGCACATGCGGTGGGCACGAACACAGCAGGCCGATCACTGCAGCTTATCAGCGGCGGGAGTCCCAAGGTCGACTAAGTGACAGCAGGAAAGTATTGTCGAGCGCGCGTGTGTGTGCGTGTGCGTGTGCGTGTGTGCTGGCACCAGGGGCCCCGACCGCCGCAGTTGTGGTTCTGGTATGATTTTGCAGATTGAGATGCAGCCGCGGCTCGGGTGCGGGAAGCCATCGGAGCCGTGCGTCGTCGTCTTGTGAGTGCGTATGCCTGTGCCTGTGCCTGTGCCTGTGCCTGTGCCAGAGTCGGTGTCGGTGTCGATGGGGTACGACTGATTACCATGATAAGTGGCAGCGGCGGTGCGGACGTTATGAAGGTCCGCAGTGGGTGAGCAAGCAAGGAGCAAGGAGCAAGGAACAAGGAGCAGGGAGCAGGGACAAGAGCAGGGCAGAACAAGAATCAATATCCAGTGCCCTTCTGTGGGCGCAGCTCCTGCTGGCTTCCGGGCTTCCAGGCTTCCTGGCTTCCTAGCTGCTAGCAAGCTGGCCTAGCAGGGCGAGGCGATGGGCCCCTTTTTGGGGAGAGCGAGAGCTACTCGTATGACTACACTACTGGCAACAACCGTTGGGAGACGACGGGCCTTGACAGCGGTTGCACGGCGCCAGTTGGCCGGAGGCAGAATGGGCGTTGGGACGGGACGTCTTGGCCCACGCAGCGCGAACGTCGACGTCAGACGCACGGAGCTCTTGGACGCCGGCCAGCTTGGCTGCGGCTAGGTGCTGACGCCGGGGACGTGTGTGTGTGTGCGTGGGCGTGAATGTACCCAAGTAAGCATCTACAGGCGTACCGTATGTATTGACTGCTGTATGTACAAGCATCTATCGAAGTAAGTAAGTAAGCAAGTGAGTAGAGCAGAAAGAGTGGATGTACGACTACTACTACTATTACTACTACTACACAGAGACTGCTCGTGTCAGGCTGCTCCACTCCCCACCGAGATATATATATATATATATATATATATCTATACTTGCCTACTTACATACACCGATGGATGTACATCCTCGCCCGTCCAGGCCGCCGCAAGTAGTCGTTGGGTACACGACGCCCGACGTGCAGGTCCGGTAATGGCGCCTCAGATCTCCCTGTGGTGTGGTGTGTGTGGGCGGCCCACAGGGAGAAGCGGATCTCCATGCTCATGGTTATGGTTAGTCGTGGTCGGGGTGCCGCGCAAGCATGCTGGCAGTCCACAGTTCGGCGCCGATCCACTGCAGCCTGGCTATTGTTGGCTTGTTGGCCTTGCTTGTTGGCCCTGTTGGCCCTGTTGATGCTGCGTTGCTTGCTGCTGCTGCTGCTACTCATCCCAATCCTTCCACTATGCATGCCCTTCGCCTCCGTCCCTCCCTCCATGCATGCACGCCCGTCTCCCTCCCTCCATCCCTCCATGCCACCCTCCCGTCGCAGACTCGCACTTGACCAAGCACTCCCCGTCTGCGCATCCTCACTGCTGTTACCGCCGCCGTCGCAAAACACGGCGCCACGGCAGCGCATGTGCCCTTTTTTTGATCAAGCAAAAACAATGACGATACACAGCACGGCCCCGCCCATAATAAATAAGCCATGCGCCTGGCGGCCACTGCGATAAGTGCCAGGCCTGTCGCCCAAAGCATCCTAGCGGCTCCCAGTAGAGCCTGTGTGCGGGATATCAAGCAATGCTCGCGGGCCTGGCAGTGCATCAGCCCTTGCTGACCTCTAGCCTCTCAGTGCGCTTCTTCGTCCGCCCACTGTGCTCCGCTGCTGCCCATCATACAAACCTCTTCCCTTGCTCCACCTCCCTCTGCTCTGCATTTCTTGTTGCTCGCTCCCGCTCGCTTCTGCCAGAGAGCCTGTCGCGCGCTCATTGCGTGAAGCCGAGCCTCCTCCTCCCCCTCTCTCCACATCCTCGCCATTGCAGTAGCGGCAGCTTCCCAATCCTCCGCTCCGACCACACCGTCACGACCCACCACTTACCTTCTCTCGTCCTGCCTTCAGCCTGCGCCGCTGCTTGCTTGCTCGCTCTCTCTCTCTCCCCCTCCCCTCCATTCACCTCTCCCTCTCTTATGAACCACCCCGAATCTCTTCCGTGATTCGTCTCTCGCCGACCTCTGCACGCTCGTTTCCCTTACTATCTTAATCGATAATTCCCTCCGCTGCCGCCGCCCGGGTCCTTGCACCGCCATCGCGATCCACCCAAGCCCGGCCCCAATCGCCAACTTTTTGGCATCCCTCATCAACCCTCTGCAGCCCGACCTGTTCTCCTCTCCCTCCCAGTCCACCACCCATATCCACGCCGATATGGCTCCAGCTGTTCCGCGGTTACGCATTCTCTCAGGTGCGTCACCAGTCCACGGCCGTCGCACCATTGCCGGCCCTTCCATATGTCCCTTGCACACCCACCACAAACACGCACATGCATCTTCTGCCTATGCTGTTCAAGTCTCAAGACTTCTTCCTATCTCGCCTGCATCCCCTCTTCCATTCTACACACTGATTCAATTGAACAACTGCTGACACTCCACACAGTGGGCGGCAACGCCGTATCAGCCTTCTTATCATGGCGGCTGCAAGCCACCAACGCCTGCGACGTTACCCTTGTCTGGAAGTCGGGATACGACAGCGTCGCTCAATATGGCATCTCATTCAAGTGCGTACCTCCGTCGACGAGCTGCCCCCCCCCTCTCTCTCTCCCCTGACTCGGTCGCTAACACGTCATAGATCAGCGCTTTACGGTAATGAGCGGTTTAAGCCATATGCTGGTATGTCCCTTAGATGGCCTCCCAAAATTCTACAACGCAGCTAACGCCATCCATTAGTCGTTCGCACTCCGGAAGATGCCGCCCATTCTTCCAAGCAGCCTTTCGACTACGTGCTTCTCTGCGTCAAGGCCCTCCCCGATGTATACGATATTGCCAACATCATCGAATCCGTCGTCTCCCCTCAACACACGTGCATCCTTATGAACACAACACATAGCCTCGGTGTCGAATCATATCTTGAGCAACGCTTCCCCACAAATGTCGTGCTTTCATTGGTATCAGGAGCAGAGATTTCGCAGCTTGGAGCTAGCGAATTCGAGCACAAGGGTGCAACAAACATCTGGGTTGGTCCCGCCAACAAGAACGCAAACATCCCCCCGCAGATTCAGTCGGACATGGCCGAGGCTCTTGCCATGACTTTGAGCTCTGGACAGGTTGACTGCAAGGTCTCCCAAAATATCCGACAACAACAGTACGAGCGAATGATAGGGTGAGTTTCGCATTCCTCATGTTGCACACCCATACATCCACTAACGCTGTGCAGCCCAATCGCATTCCATCCCGCCAGTGTCTTGTTCGAAACACCCAATCACGCCGAATTACTAGAAAAGGTTGGCGTGCGACCTTTGGTCAATGGCGTGCTGGACGAGATGCTTGCACTGGCAAAAGCCTCCGACTGCACTTTTCCCGCCGACTTCCGCGAAAAGACGTACCAAGACATGATTCGCCCCCAAGAGCACAACAGCACCATGTGGCTTGATTTCGAGGCCAAGCGGCCCATGGAGAT